GTGACAATAAATTTGAGGGATGTATTTTCGCCCACAAAATTGTGTTTAATTACAATTGTATTTGAAATACCCATGTTTTAGTATTTAAATACACACGTCAAAAACATTACCCAATTTGTATTTTACAAAATACACAAAGTATTTGAAATATGTATTTTAAATACTTGTACTTGGAATACTGCTCATCCCTGTTCAGACATTTGCAACGGCCATGCTTTAAGAGCGTGCAGTAGCGCACATCAAAGAGAATTCGACCCCTTTTCGCGAGGCTACATTGTCTATTACGCGAGTTGTGAACCCGGAAATCCGAGGGGTACAGGCCCGCGTTTGATGTCTGTGTAGGCGGCGGGAGATGTCGAAAAATTTGGAAAAGGTTTTTTTTTAGATTAGACGCACGGATTAGATTAGACGCACAGACTTTTTTTAGAGTGCAAACCTAGAAGAAAAAGCGAGCATCGTGACGACGCACTTTTGGCGCCGCTTAATTGGCCTCATGGGATCCTAGCATCAGAGGAGGTCAGACATAAAAGGGAACGGAGTATAGTGATATTGTGAACCAGGAACCTAGCCAAGATTTTGATTTGGGGGGAGGGGCCGGGGGGGGGGGGGGGCATGACAAAATGCAGTATGAGGGGAAGGGGGAAGAGGAGGCCCCAGCAAAATGAAAGATTTCGGGAGGGGGGGAGGGGAAAACCTGGGCCCCATGCCACTCCCCCCCCCCCCCCCCCCCTTCCTGGATAGGTGCCTGTTGTGGACAGTATGAGCGGGAAACGCCGGAGCGCGTGGCCTTCGGTACGTGCTGGGCTGGCTCCAGGCTGATGAAAGAGCGTAGCGGAGAGGGGGAGGGGGGGGGGGGGGGGTTGCGAGTGTGCTCATCGGAGGAAGGGCACCCTCTCGTAGCCCCTCTCTTGTCCACAGTCTTATCAGCCTTTAGGTAGCGCAGCATGTATCGAAGGCCATGCGCTCCTGCGTTCCCGCTCATGCAAAGGCTTGTTAGAATTACATGCACCTCCTGCACCGGTACAGAAAGGTGTAGAGCAGTGTTCTTCCGGTACGTGCATTGAGATACAAAGGGAAGTGCATCTCCCTACAACTTTCGTCACCGGTTGCTGAGGTGCTGGTGAGTCGAACGAGCCTACTATACACGATAGACTACCACTTGAGTCTACGTCACAATTTTTTGTGTACAAGTGCATCCCACATTTACACATCGTTCGAATGGTGCTTGAAATAAGGTCGACACCTGGACAAGGACGTAACGTTAAAGATACTTCGATAGCAAAAGGTCACCAATGGTTGACACACAGTTTATTCTCCCACCAGCTTGAGCGTTTATTCGTCGCTGTGTTGTTACCGAAAAAAAGTTACAAAATACAATGCCTTACTTAAAAAAAAAAACGAAAAAAAAACGTGTCATCGATTTTTGTTAGTCCAAGATAAAGGGAACACGTTCCCGTTGCTTTTACCGATCATAAGTAACGCACGTTACTTTTGGGTTACTTTTTTTTTTTATGAATTCATAATTTATTGTCGTACAGGTGCGCATAAACGCCATACTTCAAGAAACATTATATTACCGCGTGCACAACTAGCCAAGTAGTCAGCGCGCTTGCCTCCCACAGAGATGGCCGGGCTCCCAATCCCGCCACCACTTGTCGTTTTAACGTGATATCGTTAAGAAGCTCGTGCCGCAGAAAAGTCGGCCTCGGTGTCGTGCCAGAAGAACCGGCGTCGGTGGCGTGACGCGAATCCTGACTGGTCGATAGGGCCATGACGTCACAGCACCATTACCTATAGCGAGGGAATTTAAAACAAGCCACAACGCTCACGTGAAACGTGACGTCGCGCCTGGAATGAAAGTGATTAAAACGGGACATGCAATGCGAATTAAAAGGTCGCAAAATGTCTCATAAAGATTTCATGTTATAAAGTAATTCATTTGCCTTAACGAAACATTCAAAGAATTTTAGGCGACACTCGAACCCACGACCCTTCGGTTGCGAGCCAGACACGCTACAGACTTGGCCACGCAAGGCACGATCGCACGGCGAATGAGAAGGCGATGCGAACGGAACCCGATAACGCTATCGCGTTCCACTCTTAAAGGCAAAACTTAAGTGGCCTCCAATATTTTTTTTTTATTATTTAACTATGGACATTGCCCTCTGTTCCGCCAAGAAAGAGCAAAATATGGTAAGTACGTAAAATTAGTTACGTACTAATGACTTGGCACCTTGAAATACACACAAAAAAAATTGAAGTGATTATCTAAGTCTAGGGAGGAAGATCTAACAAGTGACGTAACTACGTTCGTCGTTACTCGAAATAAGTGACGTAAGTAGTCATTCGTTACTATCTTGCGTAATGAGCGCGTTGCTACGTTGCCGAAAAAAGTAACGCGTTTGAGGTAATGCCATTAACGGCAACGCGTTACCGCCAACACCGGTAGAACCGATCGCACATCTCAATGGCTGCACTGATCAAAAGAAGACCAACGAGCGGTGCTTTAACGGTATCGCGGTGGGCTGTATATACACTCGGGAACCTACGAGAACGTGTGAATTATGGTCACTTGCATAAGGCAAGTGTAAAATTGTAAGCAAGCAGGGTGTACGATAGATATATTTAACTCGAAACTAGGTAAACAAACAACATGCATCTGATAGCTAATAGGCCAGGCAGGTTTCCAGTTTTGCAAAAGGGGATGTTCAAGAATAAAACAAATCAATGTTGCAGGATGTGTAAAGGATTGTTCACACATATAGTACAGCGCTGAGTTACTGCTGAGTCAGCGTAGCAGCAGCGCTATAGTCACTGCTGTCTAAGGGTTGCACTCTGGATATAAACGAGAAAAGTCAGGGTATCATAGACTGAAGCGCTGATACACCTCTGATATAGCGCAGTGTCAGCGCTGTGTCTATACAGCTGCGTCTGTGCTGTGCCGTGCGTTTCAACAGGTCGTAAGCGGATACTTCAACGAAATTCGAAATATACCCGTCGTTATCAGTAATAGTTTGAATATAATCAACGATATCCGTAGATGACAAACGCACGTTTGTATTTTGAGGCTGAAGGCTGTATTTTTTGTTATAAATTGACCACTCTGGCCATCGCTCAGAGAGCAGCCAGCCGACAACACGTGACGTCTGGCGCAATCGTGACGTAACCTGTTCTGGGACGAGCAAAGCTTCGGCGAGGCTGACGCGGTTGTGAGTTTCGTCACATGGTGGCGTGAACGTGTTGTTACAACGTTCGAGATGCCCGTGGACAACGTCCTCACCACCACTCCCACCCCGTGACCCCAGTGTGCGTGACCCCACTGATCCCACGCCACGTTGAGTAGTCGGGTTTGCGTGCTTTCTTGTGTCGCAACGTCGTGTCAGCGAGGAAGAAGAAAAGTTTACAGCGACACCAGCGAGAACGAGGACATCGCTTGTTCTGCGATGGTAACCGACCGGCGACCTACAGTCTTATGTCTACGACCTCTGCGCGTCCTGTTCGTCTGAAGGAGACGGGCCGACACGACACCACCAGCCCGGGCTGAGGGCACCGCGAATTCGTAAGTTTCCTATTTAGTTCGTAATCAAGAAATATTTTATTTTTATTTCGCACATATTTTCGCGATCGGCAAGTACGATGTATTGAAACGGCGGGAGGCGTTGTACTAGAGGCGTTGTCAGGACTAGAGTAAAGGCATAGTGAGCTGTACTTCCGCAGGGCGGCGCTGCTCCACTGTTAGCCTGTGATTCTAGGCAAGACACTACCTGTCAATGTTCCTAGATGGCTATTACAAACGAGGTTCTCGCGACATTCACCAGGTGCAATTTGGTAATCGTTCAATTCGTTTTAAAATTCGTTTGCGTTTCTTTCTTTAAGAGATCGGTGTGTCCGATGTGATGCTGCTCACTGGAAAAAGTATAGACTAAGAAATAGACGCTGAAATTTCGTTGTAGAATCCATTTAACGGTACTTATGATTCCAGTGACTTATTCCCTTCGAAATCAGTATGTATGGCGCTGTGCGCCCGCCATCGACAAAGTCGATAGAGCGAGCAAGCCCTAATACCGTAAACCTTGTCTTTCTCAAAATAAAACTAGACCCGGCTTCAAAAGCGCTTCTATAGCCAGAACGGAATCTCATGGAACTTATCTCACTGTGGCGAAATACCTCGTGACATTGCATGGTGTGAGGATTAAAGCTCACCTGAAAAGGTAAGTGGCAGTGCCAGAAAAACAGACACAAATAACTTCATCGAAGTTCGCTTCTGGGTCGTTGCAGAGAGACCATTGACTATTTATGAACGCTATTTAAGAACAACCGTTGTCAAGTACAAATAAAATCAGGTCATTCATATCGAAGGAGTTTGTGCTGTGAGAGGACAGCACCAATCATGATAAATATTTATTTAAACAATTTTTATAACGTCATTTGTAAGTATTAGTGCCGCCCCTCCCAAATGAAAATGTAATTGATGAGGTGAACATTGTAGTCAATAAAAATAATTGTCTAGTTGTACGTGAATTACCTTGTTATGCTTTAGACGGAACGTTCATTGAGGTGAAAACGCAGTGTGTACTATAAAGATGCCCAATATTGGCATGGATGAGGAGATACCACTGCTTCATCAACTCAGTCGCAGAGATGTTCGGTCTCAATGGACTGCACTAGGTGCAGTACAAGCTAAGAAAGTTTGACGCTTTCTGACAAAAACCAGCAAGGGGAATGGTTGAATTTGGGATCACTGCATGGGCTCTTCAACACAGAATTTATCTCCAAGTGCTTGGAATTCTGGCGTGCTAAACTACTGTTAACTCAGTGAAATATACCGAAGGAAACAGACCAGTTGTAATAAAAAATTATTACACAGGGTACACAATTGACGTGTGGCATTACCTTCTTAGAACTTGAATAACCCTCCACCAAAAAGTAACATCAATCGAGGTATAAATTAACCATCAAATAAGCCTTCCAAGTATTCCAGCTGGCGTCTTGCAGATACTTCAGTTTGCACAGCTCTCGTCATATATGTAGTACTTTGGCGTTGTCCCGCAGAGCAGATCGAAGATGAAATCGCAGCAGGTGTGCTTTTCCAGTGCGCTCTCAGGAACGAGGAGAGTGCACGCGTCGTCTGTGCCATTAAAGAACAAATCGCTTACATTTTTGTTTTCGGTAAAGCAGATAAAAACATAGTTTATTTTATTCCACACTTGAGTGTACTGTACCAATGGAAGGCGTTGCCGCCGCACACGAGTTGGCATAGGCCTAAACACTTGGATAATTATCGTAGATTTTATTTTATTCTTAAAAATAGGTTAGCTTTCAAATCTGTATGTTTTTTAATATTATTTTTGATAGTGTTGTGCACCAATTAATTTTAGCCAAACTCTTTTGTTTCTTCGAACATTTAATTACTTGTTATTGATGTTATTTCAGGGTAAACTTGTTTATAGTCATTAATTTGACTCAAAATTGGTTAAACAACTTAATAGGCTCATTTGAACTAGTAAACTAAATTACATGTTGCAAGAGTTTTTTTTTTTTTTTACGCTAGGTTATTTAGATTTCAAATATGGCCTGAGACACTGAGAGGCTTTACTGGCAACAGTGGGCACGTGACGTCAGATGTCAAATATCCTCCAAAACTGCATGAATGTGCTCAAGACTGGTAACCCCCTGGAACTTAGGAACTCTGAAAAACGTATAGAAATCTTAAGCCAACATCATTGGACACCCTGTGAGTTGGCGTCTCTCGGCATAAAATATATGTAATATTATTGAGACAAGTAGTGTCTAACGCGTAGTGTACAAATTGGCTAGAAGACAACTTATTATGGTCTCAATCGTGTACGGGCATTTATGGAGATAGTTGTCTTCCCTTGACTGATCTGTATCTCCAGTCGACCGCGGCAGAGGTTGATAGCTACAAAAATACAAAGTGTATGCGTCGGAGCGTTCTTGACGGCAATTTTGACGGGTTTATCTTTGTGCTCTGGATCGAGAGGCTCATGCAAAATAGCAGACAATGTCGCCTAGTTGCGCTATCATAAGAAGGTATGTTGATGACCTCTTAATTTGTGTTCGAGGGGCTAAATGTAGATGGGTGCGTGGCTTTCATGAAAGGCCAAGCTCGAGAACTCTATTTCACTTACGAAAAGGCTGCGAGCAATTCCGTTCCCCTTTTCATTTTCATTTTTTTCATTTTTTTTTTTTTCTTTTTTTGATATGGGGTTGTGCTGGCGTTACGGGAAGACGGGCGAAAACCGGTCTTACCGTACCGAAGTTGCAACCCGAATACTGTCAGAAGAGGTGTTTTGTCGTACATCCTTTGGAATGCCTTGGATAGGCCCGGCGGACATTTTTCAAGTGACGCGTTGTGATACCAGTTTTCGCGGTTTGTTCGATCGGTATATTCCACGAAAGCTATGGTGTCTGTAGCAAGGCATTTCTTGGTTAGTCTCGGTAAAAAGGAAGAATGGAAAAAGGCAGAAAAGTGGGTGTGCCTGCCGTTTTTTTTATACCGTTTCTCACAATTTGAAGCGCTTGGCGGGGAAGTATGGCGTCCGGGTAGCTTCCATAAATGACTGTAGGCTCAGCCGTTTGACACCTTTCCCGAGAGCAGACGCGTAGCCAGGATATTGTTTCGGAAGGGGGGGGGGGGGGGGGGGGGGCGCCCATGACAAAATGTTGTATGAGGCGGAGGGGGAGAGGAGGCCCCTGCAAAATGAAACACTTCAGTGGGGAGGAAGCGGGATCCACGCACCCCCCCCCCCCCCCCCCCTGCCTACGTGCCTGCTCGGGAGTAAATGAAAAGTGTGGGGGAAAGGACAGGGATCCGGCCATGGATTGCAAAATAAGTGTCGTCTATGACATTCCATTGGCTTGTGGTTTATCGCACCTTAGGCAGACGGGCAATCTCTGTCAACGAGAGAATATTAGAACACAAATAGGCGGCCAACTCAGAAATAGGGAAGCATCTGGAAGAGCGCAACAATTTTTTTTCCCGAGGGGACCTCAACAGTGATTGTTAGCAGAGTTGAACCCGTTCAAGCGAGTAGTTAATGAAACGATTAGAATCACATCCGCAGGAAATTGTGTCAGTGATATTGGACAACGTGCAAACTTTTTTGCAACTTTAAGGGTTTTTATTTTTGTTTTTTTGTTTAGGATTTGTTTTGTATTTTGTTTGGGGAGTCTGACTTGTAGGTTAAAAGTGGGGAATGTGTTTTCTTGTTTGTTTGTTGTTTTTTTTTTTGCTTTTTTTTCTAGAATTTGATTTTGCGTAGGTTAAGAACTTGTCCTGTGTTTTTGTTTGAAAGTTAGACGTTCTAGTGTGGAAGAGGGTTCAGAGGGCTGGGTTCATTTTTTCTCCCGGGAACAGATACACCATCTAGTGACCACGTGTCTTCCGAACTTTAAGCTATGTCTGAGATGGTGTAATTGACGTCCTTTCTGTTTTCGTGCTTCCGGATTTATTATATTGCATAATATTCACCAGTTCTCCTGCGCCCTCCACCTCTTTGAGTTACAATACGTTTTATGGTGTGAAACTAATGCTGGGAAAACCCAAATAAGCAAAACTAACATTAACGTGCAAAATAACTTGTTGATAGACCGCCTGCAAGACTTGCAGGTTAACAAACATCTGACGTCATCCTACTAGAGGGCGCAAGAAAATTTGAAAGCTGATTTTGGCATGACGTTTACTTGCCGTTTTCTCAACAGCTATTTTGAATTTAGAGATACTAAATAGCACACAAAGAAGAGAAAATCTTGTGTCGTTGAAAATGCGTGTAGTTTAGATACCTCAAGACAAACGAAATTTATTTAAATTTATAGATTTCTTAAAGGATTACACACCTATAAATGTAACGTACATATGGGGAACACACTAGCTGGGATTCGTTTAACGATACAGGAACAAGGCGCTTGAATTAAGTAATTTTACTTCAATTGTTGGTTTTTCGGCATAGGTTTAAATGACATGTGCTAAGAGACATACAAGAGAGACAAGTAAGGAATGGGTAAAACTCCAAAGATAACTGACACCCCAGTCAATTATATTCTAGTACAGTTGTGGAACCGTCTAGCATCCTTCGCAGATTAACTCAATCGCATTGATGTTCTACCAGCCGTCTCCTGGCAACCTTAATCAGGTGTCTCATAGCGGTGGATGTCTCTCCCATAGTGGTGGCGATATTGTGTCACGGAAACGAATCTGAGCGGATACATCTGATCAGATTGGATGGTGCTGTGGCTGCTTGAAAAAGTTCATCGGTCTGCACACACTTACGAGAATGGATTAGGTGCCTTCGTTTTACGTAATCTTTTATACGATGCTCCTTGCATAACACTACGGCTCTGAATGCCTTGCCACTTTCTTCCTTCACGATAAAAAAAAAAAAAAAAACTTTATAAGCAGGATTAATGCGCCCCTGCCACTGTGAGCGAATGACCGACATAGACCGATATTGATATTATGAAAAAAGAAGTCACATTTCTTATTTTCTAAGCATTTCTTTCAAGAATAAAAACACCATAAATATTTGGTGTAAAAAAATGAAAACATTTACAACTCCCTGTAACGCCGAATTAGAGCGCAGCTCTTGAGGAGGAGGAGGGAAGGGTACTGGGAGGGGTGAAGTGACCTGGGGGGTCACGTGACCTTGGGGGTCGTGACCTTGAGGGGTCACGTGACGATGCCGATGATGTCATCAGTGACGATGACGATGCGGACTCCGATGACGTCATCAGCGATGATGGCGATGACGATGCGGATGTCGGTGACGTCGTCAGTGACGTCACTGATGACGTCATCCGTGATGATGACAATGATGATGCGGATGCCGTTGACGTCATCAGTGATGATGACGATGCGGATGCCGGTGAGGTCATCAGTGACGTCACTGATCACGTCATCAGTGATGATGACGACGATGCGGATGTCGGTGACGTCATCTGGGAGGTCACGTGACCTCGGGGGGGGGGGGGGGGGGTCACGTGACCTCGGGGGGTGTCACGTGACTTCAGGGGGGTCACGTGACCTCGGGGTGTCACGTGACTTGGGAGGGTCACGTGACCTCAGGGGGGTCACGTGACTTGGGTGTCACGTGACCCTGGGGAGGGGTCACGTGACCTCTGGGTAGGGGTCACGTGACCTTGGGGTGACCTTGGGGGTCACGTGGCCTTGGGATGACCTTGGGGGTCGCGTGACCTTGGGGTGACCTTGGAGGTCGTGTGACCTTGGGGTGACCTTGGTTACGCCGACGCCGACGGCGACGCCAACGGCGACGGCGACGGCGACGCCGCTCAAGCCGGGAACGGGCCCCTAAGAGCTGCGCTCTAAAAAAACAAAAAACTTACCAGTGATGTAGCTGTTTCTGAACACCACGCATTCCTGGCAATCCAGATACGCAATATACAAAAGGACGGAATCGTCTTCTGAAATCACGAGAGAAAAATGGCTTTGAGGCGCTAGACAATGTTTCTTAATATGCGGTTATTCTAGATATCGCAGATACCTGTTAAATTATTCCATATGAAGGCGAATTATTGAACGCCTAAATTGAATCTTGCTGGTTGAAAAGTAAATGCGTGAGGTTTCCACATCAAGGCAAACATAATATTAGGTGCGGGCGCGATATATTATATTTAGACTCGATGAACCCTTGCTTATAGTTGACGCAAGCTGGATTCAAATGCACTAGTGTATACTTACGACCGAGGGCATGAAAGTATTGAAGATTGTCCACATCATACCCTTCATAGGAGGTTAGATTTGTCACTACCGTGCTGTGGAGAGACGCGAGAAAAGGAAAACATTTTCAATAGTAATTTGGCGTACAGTCTCAATCAATAAAAGATGCTGAGCATGGTGAATGGCATATTTTAAGGAACTAAATATTGCTCCCTATATTAGCTGGGAATCTAGGGAACGTTGGGAGGGGCTTATTAAGTTCTTGTTTCTAGCTTCCAGATTTGTTCTTCGGCGCTTTTATCGGCTATTATCGAAATCTGATTGGGTGCGGAGGAATAGTAGGGCGTTTTAGTAGATCGTTTGGATATTTCCGACAACGCGTTTGTGCATGCATCGTATGGTTATCGGGTACCGTTAACGGAGGTGTACAATTTATGCCACAAGTCCCATGGGCTGCGGAACAATAATATAGTGCTCAGTTCTCGCAACGCCCTGCGCTTTTTTTTTCTTTAAGCTGCTTGTAACAATAGATCTTCATCTTACTGCGAGGGTTACTGTTCAATAGTCATTGCGCGGGGCCTCTATGCCTCCGCCAGGTGACTTGTTTCTGTTTTAACACCCATGGAACATTTTCAAGAAGATTTCTTTGTATCTGCTCCTCGGTTAAAAAAAAAACCACGCATAGAATTGTTTGAGTTATACACTCTGAAAAATGCCTGCGCGTCTACTTACCCGCAAAATACTCGAAGAGCCAATCTCTGCGATCTAAGCAATCAGCTCAGCGAATGATGAGGCGGATCATCTGTTTCGACATAAAATGAAGTCGGCGGTTTGGTATTACGCAATGCGAAGCGTCATGCTTGCATTGCGTAATGTCACAGCACACACTTTATTCTGAAGTCTAAGCAGATGTTCCGCCTCATCATTCGTTCAGCTGATTTCGTAGATCGCAGAGATTGGCTCTTTGAGTGCTTCGCGGGTAAGTAGAGGGGCCGGCAATTTTCGGAGTGTAGGCTCAATCCACAAGTAAAATATCCAACGTATTTTTAACTTGAATGGTACTGTTCATTCATCCGCACTTTTCGACTAATTCTTTAATAAAAAAAAGTGGAAGCCGTTTACAACTCCCTGTAACGCCGAATTGGAGCGCAGCTCTTGAGGAGAAGGGAAGGGTACTGAGGGGAGGGTAGACCCCTCCTCCTCCTCCCCTCATTCTTTAATATGCTCCGGTTGGGTCACCTGACCTCGGGGGAGGGGGTCACGGGACCTTGGGGGGTCACGGGACCTTGCGGTGACCTTGGTGGTCACGTGACCTTGGGGGTCGCGTGGGGGTCACCTTGGGGGGTCACGTGACCTTGGGGGGAGTCACGTGTCCTTGGCGTGACCTTGGGAGGGGTCACATGACCGCGGGGGGTCACGTAACCTTGGGGTGCCCTTGGGGGTCACGTGACCTTGGGGTGACCTTAATTTACGCCGACGGCGACGCCGACACCGCTCAAGCCGGAAACGGGCGCCTAAGAGCTGCGCTCTAAAATATTCTGTGCACTCTATAAAGGTTTCCAAGAAACGACAATGATGAACGTAATCTCATTGCTCAGCTCCCGCTAAGTAAAGGAAATGCACACTCTGCTACGGTAGTGGTTGCAGCCGCATATTAAGGTTTTTATCCATACATTTCAAGGCGGTGTACCAAAATGCCAATACGTACGTTACGGCATAAAAAGTGTCAGAATCAATTTTCGACTGCTTTGCTTTATTATCTCAAGCCACCCATGGTTGGTGCTTATATTTTATTTGTTGAAAGCGCTATTCGAAACGTTATTCGTTATACTTACATTGAAGTGTCTGTAAACTGGACTAACATGGTATATACCCCATTCTCTTCGGGACCCAGACTGGTAAATTTGGCACATTTAGCCGTCCCTCCAAACGCTGGGTCATTCTCGTAGTTTCTGTACACTGCATACCACTTCTCTTGGATCGGCATGCACTGGAGTGATATATTTACAAAATAAAGAACGGGCATATATTGCCTTCAGCATTCTTGAATCACACGCAAGCCACCTGCATAACTCCATGCATAATTCCCACATCATATGTACAGTTTTCAACAATATTAAGTACCCATTCGACAAGAAAGCTTAGCGGTGACATTAAGCCCATGTTGGCGTAGGCACTTTATTTTTAGGGACAAAATAGAACAAAAATTCGTTTATTACCTCACTCAAAGAAAAGCGGGTTTGGCGAAAGCAAAATCTGCGAAGCCGTTTGAAACTGCATCGTTGAATGTGCCGTTCATATTGTTTGCGACTGTACTCTCATGGCTGTATTTAAGACAAACAAAGAGTGGTTAAGTTAGCAGAAGCAGATAATGGGTTATTTCGTTTGCGTTTTCTTCTGAAGGGCTTTAAACACACAAGGGGTGGTAAAATGCTCTAATAATGTGCGGCAAAATTAATTACGTTCCCCAGAAAATTGAGCTATAAAATGCAATTAAAGAACTTAAGTCGCGTTCCCCCCAACCATGACGCATTCTCTACAATATCGAAGAGTATTACATGCCTCGCTTTCATTATAGTCCAACGAACGTCAGAGAAAGTTGTTCCCCGTTTTAGACGATTTTGCTATTTATAAAAGCAATAACAACCAAGGTCGCGATAATAATCAACGAGTTTGTGCTTGCCAGGGCAAAAGAGAGAGAAGCGTGCGCGAAAACGAAGGAGCGACTTTTAGAACTGCATCTGCTAAAAGCAATTTCGGAGAACATTTTTTTTGGGCCTAACGACTTTGAAAGGAGAAGCAAAACAGAGGCTGTTCCACTTGTTGTTCTCCGCGGGAATAAAGCTGGGAAAAGCCGGTTTTGGGTACTACCTTGTGGGTTTTCACGAGCCCTCGCACGCCATCAGGCCCCAAATGTATGTGTCTTTTTTACTATAAATGCGAACGAAGGCGCCGTGCCCGTGTAAAATGCGAAAACGAACCGGTATGTTGTCGCTAACCCTGTCGCGTAGTTTACGCTTATTTGATAATCCTTAATGTTTAAAATTATACACTTGCCAGTGCTTTTACAGTAGTGTAAATATTGATCTTAGTTGAAATGTATTCAATGTGTGGGACGCAGTGTACTAAATGTCAGAGGTATATTTAACTGGTACAAGCAACGAGTTGTTCGAGTACATCGGGAAATGGCTATACTGAGACAACTCACGGTAAACTTAATCGTTTTCCCTTCATATACTTCCGAATATCATGGTGTATTTTTGGTATTCGTCCAATCTCCACTGTAATAGTATACTCGGTCCTCACACCCAGTGAACGATTCCTTTCGCAAATATTGCAATTTTTCTGCAACCTGGAACTATTTATTTACAGCGATTGTAACTACTTTCATACGCGGTCTACACATTTTAGTCAGTTACATTACACGGTCTTCGTTGCTCTCAGTACGTATTCAACCTCTTAAATATGCAGAAATAAGAATATAAACTCATAAATGTCATACGTCGAGACCCGGGATCCTTCGTAATTACTTCTTAAGGAGCGGGTCATAAAATTATTATATGGGGCACGAACGTTCCCTGATTTGCTATCGGAAGTCTCCTGACATGTGCTGTTTCACGACGTACCAGCAACACAAGTAATCCGTCTTGGCCCGATTAAAATTAACTGCTGGGCTAGTTGGATAAACATCGTGTAAACAATTGGCGCAAAGGATAAGGACAACACGGAGCCTACCAGCAGGACTAGCACGCGCTTGTCCTATTTATTTATTTATTTATTTATTTATTGATACTGTCGGCCCTAGACAGGGCTTTTACAGGAGTGGGTAATACAATGCAGTAAATCACATACATGGAAACAACAATGCACGATTCGCCATGTCACTTCGTAACTTCGTCATGTCCTTGTCTTTTGTGCTATATTCGCTCAAGTAGTTCAGGCACCTAGAGTAACTCACAGTAGATTAAACACTGTGCGTGTCTTACTGCGTTCATGCTTTTTTTTTTCTTTCTGATTCTTTGTTCAATGCTGTTAGCGAGTGACGCCTCCATCTTATTGGCTGCGGACCAATAATAAGATGCTCGAGGTTCGTCTCGCCCTGCACAACCTCCGGACACAGAGCGAGTTGCGCAGCCCGAACACGGATGGCGCCACCATAGAAGTGTACAGCGGCTCTCGCGTGGTCGGAGGCGCTCATTACTAAAAACTAAGCAAAACAATAATGAATCAAACTTCATTCAACTGTAGTTATGACTGCCATATTATTTCACTAAATACAAATTACATATTCCTAAAAATATAACATATTTGTTTAAAAGTTCGTGTCAACATCACACTCTCGAAATTTTGCTTTTTTCTATTTTTTGCTTTTCTAAAACGAAACCGCTGCCTGTGCGCATGCGCGCTTGCGCTCTGCGCGTTCTGAAACCGGTGGACCGTTGTGGAGGCGTCCGTATGTCTGCTCGGTGCTTTCGCGCTTTCGCTCGCATTCGGTGCGTCAAGCGTCGGCGCCTCGATCATCGCATTGCACGAGCCTCGCACTTTCGGGCAAGAGGAAAGCTTTTCGTGTCTTTGAACCACCTCATTTGTGCGGTTACACCAAGTCGTGCCCAAGCAGCGTCGAGGACAAGAAGCACCCGTTCGTTCGGATCCCAGCTGACGACGGTGAGTTTGTAAGTTTTCACCCCAATTGAAACTTTTCCTAAGCTGATCTTCCAGCCACAAATTGCACCATTTGAGGGTTTTGTACTCTTTTAGGTAATTGAATATATCGTTTCATTCTTGAAATTTACAAAATGTCACCGTGATTTCAGTGCGACGCGCACATTTCGGCGAGCGTTCGCACGTGGTTTTGTGGATGAAGACCGTCCTGCAAATATTTTATGATATGTAGACTACTGTTGGCGAAATATCACCTCCTCTACCTCTCGTCAATTTCGTGCACAGCAGTGTAGATCCCCTTGGAGTAAATTGTAGTCTATATGCAAATATTCTCCCAGTTTTATAATATTTCAGTTCATCTTATAATGTCCGCCCGTTTTTATTAGTTTATCTCGTGTAGATTCTTTTACAGCCCTGCGACTAGTTTTGCCACGTTTTATTTCTTTCTGAAATAAATAGAAAGCTGATGAGTAACATAATTTAATTTTTAAAGACACTTTTAAAATCTTGAAAGATTTACGTATAGAAGGGCGGAATGCACACAGCAGAGCTTGATCGCGAGATGTGCTATCCGTCCTTCCATGTGTAATTCTTCCGAAAGTTTTTACACCTCCCAACGCACTCCCCTCAAAACAATTAAAACTCGCGTTAGGCATTCTTTTCTTTTTGTTTGTTGCACATAAAATAGCATCATTTGCATTATTTGTTCTTTTTTGTGTATCCATACAGATTCTTAAGGAATGAAAATCTCTCCAATAAGCCTCAAGGACAGGGAACCCCAATAGACAAAAGGTAGTGTCCGTGGTAACTTTTTTGTGAAGTGCACTTGATTGCTGGCCAACCTATCGAGCTGAATATGTAACCATCAGTATGCTAGTTTCTGTTATAGTGATTTATGCAGTCTAATCTACGATCAACTGTAATGTAAAACGAGAGTGGCTGGGGCAAAGAGGATTTTAACGAAAGCAAAAGGATAGTAGGAGCAGCACTATGCAATGTTTCATAGCCCTGTTTCTCTTCTGCAAGTGTATGTGTATTGACGAGACAAACTAATATGTTCTTACATTGCCCTGTGCAGATCCTGAGAGGATAGAGAGCACACGTACAGGAAAAATGAGAAAGAACAATGAAGTGGATGGTCCATCCCATGGGCATCATAAACTCTCGGTGGCCACACCAAGAAAACCTGGTTCAACTCGTGGTTCAACTTGACGGCGCAAGCGACAGGTATCGGAATCTCATCAAGAGGCCAAGAGAAATGAGAAATACCAAAGTGGTCTACAGAGAGCTAGGTCTACACATTATTAAGTCTCTAAAGATTTTGGTTCAGGTATGTAAGTAAGCAACAAATAAGTTTGCCCGAATTACAATTCATTGTCTTAACTGTTTATTTGCATGAACCAGTCAGAATGACACAAGCTTTCAACTAGGCATGAAATCTTTTGGCTGTGCTTCTTGAGACCCTCTAGAGACAATGTTGTCCACTGCATCGGCAGGTTGCTCCTTGCACGATTTTTATGGAGCAAGGTCATAGACTAACAGAAGCCTCTGAGAATCCACTTTGTTTAGACACGTTGTTAGCCTGCTGTTGGCCAACAACCTCTAGGCAGTTTTTTTTGTTTTTTTTTTTAGGGCGGGAAAGCGAGGGGGGAAATATCTGTTGCTTCGAACCAGTGATTCCAGGACCTTTGGCAGCTAGGATTCAAACTACGTACTTGGAGAGTTTCACTCTTTAAGGTCTCAAGTTTTGGTGAACAATATCTGACCCACTAAAATGTTGCATTATTGTCTTATTACACAGGTTGAAGAATTGATGTTTTATCGTAATATACGTTCAGGTTGGTATTTGAGATTTCACAACCAATAACCATTTAAATACTTCTTAGACATACCTCACCGAAAGGGCTGTTTGCATACAATTCTTCGGCAAGGCTGCATATTTATTTCATACTGGGTTTGCTTCTATGTAACGCATATCAGAAATTATGGTTATTGTGTTTTCATGCCACGAAAACAGACATTTCTGTTTGCTGTTACAGTATTTTCTCTTTAATATGGACATCTCCAGTTTCCAAAACAATTGTCCATAATGTTCGTCATCCATAATCTTGAATCACTGCCAAGATCACAAAGAATAAACAATGAAGGTGGTATGTTGTTCATTTTTGTCATCTGCAACTGGGAAAGGGAAAGAACTGCAAGTGACTCAGGCTGGAAATCCCTGAAAATTGTAACCGTTGAGTCACCATTGTCACACCTTACAATGGTGCAGCTCTGGGTAAATTCCGTAACCGAAAAGCTTTACTATTATTTTTTGACTCCTAATATATTTTCCTCCTTTTTTTTTGCGTTTGTCTTTACAGAGACCACAATAAACATATAAAAACATGCATTTATCCATTTCGTTCCCAAGATAGCTGTCCATAGTACGTACTTCGGGTTTCTTTATTTAACGTGACCAGTTATAATTGTATGGGGACACAATCAGGTCCCCGAAAATATGACCTATATAGCGGCGTGACCGAAACGATCGACCAGACTTATGACTATTGTTTTTCAATCGCGAAGACAGATATTCTCGCGCCATAGTTGCATCTGAGGTTTACGAAACTTTAAGCAGTCACTTGGTGAACTAAGGCAATAATAGTTGGTGCGCGCCGATAGCCTTTCAAAGTGAAAAGGCTATGTCATGTTCGCGCTAACAGTGTCGCACATTGTATCTTCACTGTAGCACCTCTTGCTAACGTAGATACTGCGCGCATTATTAATCTTTTTCCACATAGCAACGTTTGTTTAAAAGTGACAGTGTAAATTGTTTTTTCTTGTCATGCAAATGACTGAATAAATGCGTCAACAAGTGCGAAAAAGGCTGCATCTGTTTCGATTCCCTGGAAGACGCCGACGACAAGTGACGGACTGTCAACTGCTGGACACAAAGTAGGCAAGCAGAACTTACAATTCTTTGCCATAACACGTGGCATGGCATGTGCGAACCGTCAATTTCCAAACAAAACCTACCGCGGTACCGGCGGTACTGCGGTAGGGAGTAGCTGTAGGGCACGGCGGAAGGGCTGCGCCATGTTGGAGTTTGAGCGGCCTCGTCTTCGGAAACGGCTAGGAAGCCGCTCAAGCTAGCTTGACGGCGTCAAAAGTAATTATTAAGACGTTAGCGCTTCATTTTATGAACATAATTCTCGCTCCTTATTTTAGTTTCGCAATCTATTAATAGAGCAATGAGGCTTCGATTCGTTGCAGTAATGAGCGCCTCCGACCACGGCAGCGCTGCTGAGCGCCTATGTTTGCCCAGAAATCGACTCCATTGGTCTATGGCAGTGACCGGGCACTGCCCTGCGTTTCTTAAGTTTGTCAGTGATTACGGATCGACGGTCGGAATACTGATTGAACTGCCACGTGGTCTCAGTTACAAGAAAACGTTGGAGACATTTCTGCCCCTGAAGCCGCATGACCACAGCGACAAGATACCGGTCACCTTTCTCGTTATGCAAACTGATTAGACGAAGACAAATGATCGGTATTTCGAGTGTATTGCGGCGCAGTACATACACGCAGAAGGTATTAACATGATAGCTGCAAAAGGCGCTCCTCCAACAAAGAAAAAAAAGGACAACAACAATGTTTTGCTTCAGGATTAAGGCTCTTGGGCGTACTGAATTAGATGAAGTTGTGTTTTTTTTTTTGTGTGTGTTTTTTTTTTTTTCTGGGCAAACATTTTTTTTTTTTCTGGGCAAAAAAAAAATTCTTGTTTTCATATTTGGGGTAGACGTACCTGAGATGGATTCTGGTACTTTCCTAGTGCTGGATTCAGTTCAGGGTAGGACGGGCCAGCACAGGAGCACCGTGAGGTCAAAAGTGCAGCGACAGCAAAAAGAACGAATAACATTCCTGCCATGTTGGTCTCACTTCTCAAAGTCAATTGTTGCTGACTGTGTTACAAGTGGCCCGGCTATGTTAGTCTAGTACTGTCACTGAAACTCGGACTGCGTCGGGGGATATAAGCTGTTTTGACGAAGTGCCCTGCACCTGGAAACTAACGAGGATTATCCTGTCGAGTTTAAAAATGTGGCAACATCGCTTTCGAATAGCGGCAGTTATTGGTTCGTGAAACCCGTAACGTCATAATATACTTTTATAAACGGAATGAAAATGTGATAATTCAACAAACGCCACGTGGTTGACAAAACGACGACCCAGTGGTATAATCCAACCAGATATAGGTTGTTCAGGATACAGGTGCTGTAATTTCATGGTCGAGTCGCCTGTTGTTCTCGTTAGGATTCCATCTGTCGTTACACTCTGTATGTACGGTGCGCTTTATTTTTGAGAGACTCCTCTACTCACGTCTAGAGATTTTTTTTTTCGTTTTACAATTTAGTTTCTATTACTTGCTAAGGCTGTTGCTCTACATCGTTGCGGGATAAAGACAATGACTTTTAAATACATCAGGACAAGGCATAACACCATGCTTAGCGACGCCTGAAAAAGAACCCAATCTCAGACTGCCATACGCACCGAGGGTATTCTCGTCTTCTGCTTGCCGCTCGATCGGCTCAGCCGGCTACGTTAGAATCCTTAAAACTTCTTTTTTATCGGCTTCGTAAGAAGTTAAAAAAAAAAAGCTAGTAAAAAGCCAGTAACTCCAGCAGATACTACCTCTTTCTGGCTGTTACTACATTTCACTAACCATTTACTACCTCAAACGCGCGATAGGTAGTAAAAAGTTAGCAAATGCAGCCATTAGTACCTTTTTCTGGTCGTTACTACCTTTTTACTAGCTATTTACTACCGCAAAGGCGCGGAGAAGATGGCAGCGCTTGCTTCATACTCGATTGACCGCGTTAGCGACGTACTTGCTGCTTCGGATCGCAGGGGGAGGTATCCACACGCAATCGTAGCGTCAAATATTGTATGAGGGGGCATGTTTAAGGTTTGGAGCTGACTTTATAACGATCGCAGCCTCCGTACCAGCACGACGTGGAAGCCAGGCCGCGTATTTTCGGCACCGATTTGAAGTCCAGAAAGCGCGACCAGTGACGTCACGGATGTCAAAATAACAGCTTTTATTTTGACGTTGACAACCCGTTTTCTTTGGATGCCGCTGACTGCATTTTGAAATGTCGGTCGCTCGGCGTGTGTGTGGCCGGGTACTCGGCGGCTCGGCGGTGTCCGCGCTGGTGCGTGTTGTCAACGTTGCCGCCTGTACTCGTCGCGTTCTCAGGAACATCAAAATAAGCGTTCTCCATTTTCAAACTTCGTCCGGTGCCGTCCGTCACTCCTGTTGCAAACGAAGATTACGTTTACTCTCTAAAAAAAAGTGAGCAGCTTTCCTAGTCATCATGCGTTTTGACGGCTGTAACTACCCCACAGGCTTACCTAACTATCCGCTGGGCTCGAGCCATTGAGCGTTACCACCCTGTTGGCAGGTGACAAGCATAGGGTAGTCACGTTTAATAAACTCTTGAACTGAACATCAAAGTGCATGCAGCCGTTCAATAGTAAAAGTCACTTCAAAAATCTGAAAAAGTACTTGAAACTTGTTTTCTTAGTGCGTTGGTTACCATTTATTCAAATTTGAACCGGTCGAAACAGTCGTGGGGCTCAGTTCGCCTCAACTGGCAGAAAACAAACATTGCCAAAGAGTACAGACAACCTTGGTAGGCATTTACGAAAACCCGAGGAAGATAAAAAAATATCGCGGTTGTCCTTTTTGGTTCTGTCGCGGGTTTTACCATGTACAGCAGTAAACAGCCGGCAGCTGGCGTCGTGCTCGAGGAATTTAACCAAAGTTTACTTGCTGAATGGCGCAGCAGTAAATATTTCAGTTGTAAGTCAGCGCTGTGTCTGTGTTTCCTTTTACTGGTTCTTCGACTTTTTTGTGCTGTTTTAGCCCATTCAATATGACCATCAACCAACTCGCCCAACTTTACACCTTGTGGCGAAGACGTCTTGTGAAGTCATGCCACTCGCGAGGTAGTCGATATTCATCTACCGGGCTATTAATCAGAAAAGAAAAGGCACTTTCCTAGTGAGCTGATGTCCGTGTTGGACAAGTCGACGGAAGATAACCTAACAACTATGTTTTCATAAATGCTTGAGGTGTTGACCAATTCATCGTTCTCATCTTGGGACGGTGACGATAACTCTAGCAAAAGGTTTGAGTCTGACTAGCGCTCCGGTCGGATATCAGCGAAAGTTCGATTTTGGTGAGGTTCATAACTATCAAGTGGAGGGTCCCTCCTCCTACCCTTCTCTTCCTCCTCCCCTCCCCCTCCTCCTGCTCTTCTTTCTTCCTTTTCCCCTCCTCCTCCTTTCCTTCTCTTCTCCTCCTGCCGCTGAATTTGTTCATGGGTGACGTGACACGAAGTCGGGACGTCATTTTCCACCGCTAAATTTAACGGGGAAACAGCCTCCTAGATTTAGCGGAAAACTTCCACCGCTAAACGTAGCGGGAATATTTTCGCGCTAACTTTAGCGTGAAAACGTCCCATAATGCAACGCGCGCGTTTACGTGGACGCCGGCGGCGACGCCGTTCAACCCGGAAGCGGACGCCTAAGAGCTGTGCTCTAAAAGCGGGCGCGCGTTAACAGAAGAAAGCTTGAAATGTAATTCGTTCACATCACAATAATTCAACGTGTCCGCGATGTTGATGACAGTGACCAGTGAAGTTTTAGGTTCCTTGATATAAGGGTTTTGTTAACACTGGATGGAGACTGCTGATGATAGCCTCCTTTCTAGTTTTACGTCCGTGTTGCGTCATTATTTTAACGCGCACGAGACAGTGATAAATTAAATGCTATCTAATGAAGTCATGTTATGTATTTTAGGCCCATTCACGTTGTCTCAAGATTGTCGCCTTTTCACATGGTTGAGGCAAACGCTTTTTGTCAGGACGGGGCTAACCTTCGGTTAACATTCGACCAGTGCTCAAAAATGACAAAAAACACGGTTTTGGGTTGACTGACACAAAACATATAAAAAATACCCGGAAAACTTTGATACGTATAAATATTCGCCGATGGAAAGATCCCTGAAAAAGGTTTCTTTTTGGCACGAGCCCTAAAAAATACTCTAAATTTGAAAGCGATAGAAAAAAAAAGGCAAATGCTTAGGTATACAACTCTGTTTCAGCTTTTATTTTAAAGAAATAAAACAACCTAACGGGGTTTCTTTAATTCAGAAACGAAATCGATGAGACACAATTATTTTGCCGTAATACTTCTTCGCTCCAGGATATCAGTTTATTGTCGTTGTACACTCTCAAAAAACTCCCGTGCGTCTACTTTCCCGCACAACACTCGGAGAGCCCATCACCGGAACTTACGGAGGCAGCTTAGCGAATGAAAATGTCGAAGCATCTGTTTAGACCAAAAAACGCAGTCTGAGTTGTGACATTAAGCAATGCAAGCGTGACGTTTTGCATTGCTTAATGTCACAACTCAAACTGCGTTTCTTGGTCTAAACATATGTTTCGGCATCGTCATTCGCTAAGCTGCCTCCGGGAGTCGGGCCGGTTGACTCTCCGAGTGTTGTGCGGGAAAGTAGACGCAAGGGCGTTTTTTAGAGTGTAGATCAGGACAGATGAAATCTTTATTTTTCGCAGCTCTCATCATAGATCTCATACTTTGGGAACACTACACACAGAACGTCGAACACAAAATCGTACCATGTGAGGTTTCCTAGGAAGTCCATCACTCCCAAAAATGCAGAGGCTGCAAGCAGCACCTGAAACACGCGAAGCTAGGGTTTAGATACAAAATGCCCCCCCTCCTCACCTCCACCTGTTTCACGGAGAAGAGAACAAAATATTAACATAAATAGTCAGTGGGCGTGGGGACCCCCGAGCATATCATTACCGCTACGCAGTCAATGAGATTGCGGCACCAGCGGATAAGAACACCAAAGACCACATCGTAAAGCAAGAAACGTCAGTATCATAAGCCACGCCCTGTGGTTCTTAATTAGTCTGTCAGTGACCATATTAACGGCAGTTGTGTACGTATACAGAGTGTCCCCCCCCCCCCCAAAAAAAAAAAAAAAAAGGTAGAATATTTTTAATTCGAAAAAAATAAAATATGCTGCACCGAATGCTCATTCGCCGCCCAAATGTAGCGGTAGAGGTTCAAACCAGTCGCCAATTTTTCAGCACGAACCGTTATCTTATACATAATGACAAATACACAGCGCAAAAGGAAAAAAAGGGAAGAGACACACCGCTGTGTATTTGTCATTATGTATAACCAAAAACCAACTAGCCCAACTTTCTACCTTATAACCGTTATCTTATTCAAAAGTTATAGGTGATATATTTTTTTTTTAGTTTATTGAGAAAATGGGGCCCACTTTTGCCCATTTTCGGTTCCTAACGGAATAGAGCTCCAGGTATTAAAGAGCTCCGTCGGCGGCCATTTTCCCATTCAAATTTTTAGAAAACCACTCATGACGTTTGAATAAGATAACGGTTATAAAGTAGAAAGTTGGGCTAGTTGGTTTTTGGTTATGCATAATGACAAATACACAGCGGTGTGTCTCTTCCTTTTTTTTCCTTTTGCGCTGTGTATTTGTCACTATGTATAAGATAACGGTTCGTGCTGAAAAATTGGCGTCTGGTTCGGACCTCTAGCGCTACATTGGGGTAAAGAATGAGCGTTCGGCAAGAAATTATTAATTTTTGCACTAAAAAAAATTTCACATCTAGTTTTTTTTTTTTTTTTTTGCGGGGGTTGGGAAAGGAGGGGGCCGGTATTCTATAAATAAAAAAAAAACATTAGGTGAGGTCGATTCTTTTAGACACCATGCTGCCAGAAGAGCCAGTTAGCATTTAGAACCAGTTCTTGTGGCGTGTATCCAAGTTACCAGTTGTAAAATTAAAATCGACTACCATGCATCATTTC